AAAACAATTCAAGTCTTAACTCCTCCTGAATTATCTGAATTATTGTGGAACTTTAGTTGACCAGATTCTTGTGGATCAATGCATCAATCGTCTATGCTGCAACCTAACCGGCGGTCCTGATTCTTTGTGCCTGACAGGATGGATCCAACCAAGATTTTAGAAGGACTCTGGTTAATTAATAGCCTTTTAATTGCTCTTCAGGGCTGGTGGGAATCGTAGTCTAATGATAGACCAATGGATTGGGAAGGAGAAGTTGGACTTTCCCATTTCCTACGGTGTCCTGGAAGGGTGAAGCACCAAATGGAATGATATCCCTTTTGGAAGGATAGACTATCTTCACTGTATAATCCTGAAAATATTGCTGTGTGGTACAGTTTCCTATGTATTTATATAGCCCTCTCCTGTTTTCCAATGCCTGTTTCCATCTCGCCAGCTAAACTCTGTTCAAAAGTCGCAGAGAAGATGTGTTTATCTGATTTTGAACCCTTCTTGGGATGATCGTAGTCCGAGTGAAAAAAAAAAAAAAAAGGTGACCTACTTTGATAGCTAAGTAGCTGGTCCTCAAATCTTCTGTCTGGAAGCCCAGGAGAATTCTTTAAGGGCTTAATGTCTGGAAGGAAGCCCCAGCTTCAACATTTCTACAGCCAGAGTCTCATCTCTGAGTGTGTCAGGGTGTCTATAACATGGTGTTAACATCTGATGCTCAAAGCGGATTTCGAGACGGAGTTGCTGGAAGACTTTGCCCCGAAGAAATTGTCCTCTGCAGAGCTGCTCCAGGCTTCTTTTGCCACTTGCAAGAAATTCTTTAGCTTTGCAATTTGGCTGCTGTATTTCTCACTCCTCTGCGGTTAGGCTCCTTTTTTTCCCTTCCCCATGGCCTATTTCTCCATCACAGTCTTTGGCAATTCTGCTTTTAGTGTGTGTGGCGACAGCTGGTTTTCTGAGCTTCCTCTTCACACTTCAAGTCTGTCTGTTCAGGCTATATAGGTCTTCTGTCTTGGGTCTTGTCTGTCCGGACCCCCTGTGTTTTGTTTCTGTGACCTGGTTTAGAGTAGAATTGATTGTGTGCAAAAGTTTTGTGGCAACTGACAGGTTCATTTTTTCCATGTTGAAGAGTTTGTGGTTTTCTACCTCAGTTGCAAATTGTTTTAGAATGTTCCATTGAATAAGATGTTATCCTTGCTGCACACAATTCATTCTGTGTGTGTGTGTGTGTGTGTGTGT